CCCCAGCTCCTCCTCTTCTGGGCCAGATGCCCCCAACTGGGAGCAAACCCACCAGTAGCATTGTGAGCCCTGGCCAGGCGACCCAGCGCTAAAGTCCCCAAGCGGTGTGCCATGTGCTGGGGAACGTGGCCACGTGGTTCCCCACTGCGGGCTGGGCCAGCACCCCTGCGCCCAGGTCCCCAGCAGCTCCCGCTGCGGCCCCCACGAGTGTCCGCAGGCCCCCGGGTGGATGAGAGGCCCCTCAGCAGCTCGCCAAACGCGCCCTGGCCTGCTGCGCCCGGGCCGTGCCGGAGCCCAAGAGGCCATGGCGCCTCTTGATGATATCCTGCTGGCGAAGGGGGAGCTAGGCTTCGTGTGCCAGGGGACTGAACGTCTTACGGCCAGGACGTCCTGGCCGCCCGGACCGCTCACTGCTGCTGGGGAGGACCCAGCCTTGTGCCCAGGCCTGGCGCCCAGGAGAGCCGCAGGCTGTTCCAGGGCCCGCAGGAACCCTTCTTGTAAGTGCCCACGACCTCAGGTACCAAGGAGGCCCTCTGTGTAGTTATAAACACTTCCCGGCTGTTTTGTGTGCCTTTTGTTCGTTTGTTTGTTTGTGTTTTTGTGTATGCGGTTTTTGTTTTTATAAAACGCAGGCACCCTTGACTCAGTCCTAGCTCAGCCACTGACTGTGTGACTGGTGGATGCATTGTACCTCTTCTCTCCCAGTAAGTTTTCTCACCACTGAAATGGGGGTGAAACTAGTTTGGGTTGTTATAAAGAACAAGCAAGCTCCGTCTCTAGGTCTGTATTGACTGCAGTGTTTCAGTGATTGCTGTCCCTTTTTTGTTGTTCTCAAATTCTCTCTATTTAAGGGATGTTCCCTGTAAGGCACATGTGTCAAACACAAGGCCCGCGGGCCAAATCCATCCCGCCAGGCCTTGCAATGTGGCCCGCACCGCGCTGTCATCACTGCACTCCGCTGCGTTTCCATCACAATGACAGTTTATGACTGTTCAGTAAAACATTCGGCCCGCGATTTAGGCTGGATTTTAGATTTTGGCCCCTTCTCTGATTGAGTTCGACACCCCTACTGTAAGGTGAAGCCCCATAGTATCCCTCTTGGGAAAGACAACGCACAGAAGCTGTGATGCCTGGGTGCACTGGAGGGCTGCTCCGTCCGGGGAAAGGCTAACCTCCCTGCTGTGCAGAGGCTGGGAGAGTTTGCACTGGGTGTCAGTTTAGGCTGCGGCCTCTGTGTGAGAGAGTAGTGGGTGAGCTTTGGTCAGCCAGTATGGCATGGTAAGACAGATTCCATGCTCTATTTGGAATGTCAGTGTGTTGTTGTTGCTTTTCCTTTTTTTTGGTGGTGTTTTTTTGTTTGTTTGTTTTGTTTTTTCATTAAAGACACCTCAATTTTGGAGGCAAATTTTCCAAATTAAAATAAGATAATAAGTCTCTTAGGTCAAGGAGACAGCGGTGACATGCAGAGGCATTGGCCAGTCGCAGAGAGCGAGGACACAGTTTGAATCTCAGTGGGACGGTTTCTGGGACCGGCAGGGAGACGGCATGGAGTTGCTGTAAATGTGAAATGAACACTGATCAGTTACCTAAGAGACTGGCTGGCCCATGCCTAAGAGAAGGGGAAAGCCTCTGGTAATCCCCGTGCAGGAAGACACCACAGGAGAAAATCTCCTTGAGCTAAGTTCGTTTCCAGGCTTGATGGCTGTGTTTTCTTTTCGTCCGTGTTTCATATTATTCAGATATTAAAGAGATGACTTATGTGTCCAGAAGAATAAAAATCAGTTAGTTCTTAATTTTCAGATGTGGCCTTTCTACCTTCCTTTGTCCTCACACGCACGTATTATCATCTCTTTTCTTTCTGCTTTCACCAATCTCCACATTTCACACAGGTAAAACCAATTTTACTACCAGTAACCAATGCAGTTTGCTTCTGAGTTTACCTGATGGCCTTTCTAAATGTGGCTTCTGATTCCCCCCTCCATGAATAATCTTATTTCAAACTCTGAATGTTAACTCCTCTGAAGAGTAGTTGAACTGTAATGTAGCCCATGAAAGACTTACTATTTTAGACCTCGTTGTCAAGAAAAGTCCTTGCTAAGCCTTTGTGCAGAGGTCTTGTTCTGAGGGTGTTTCTTATTCCTTGAAGCTGACCCACCCGGTGCTAATGAGGAGTAAAGGTCACACCCAACCACACGCATCGCTTTGTTCTCCCACCCTCCAAAATATGAGCGGTTATGGTTTGAGGATAATGTTTCACTTAGCAGATTGTGATTTTTACCACTGAGTCATGAGAAAAGCAGTTAACCACGGCAAAGACAGTTTGCCATGATAACTACTATTAATAAGTATTTGTTGTGTAGCTGAATGAAAGGTACATGAAACATCAATGACAATGAAGAAATGAATGAGACAAGATGGAGCTCCATGATGATGCCATTTCTGTCATGTCTTTGTTAACATGTCTTTGTTAACATCTTTCCTTGATCAGGACCCCATGATAGCCATATGTACCCAAAGGCCTTTGTTAGATCACTTTATAGTTGGGATCAAGCACATGGACAACTGACCATCTGAATTCAAGCTACTCTCCTGAAGAGTCTGACTTTATGGTCTGATGGGAAATTACTTTTGTTCTTCAAGATCACAAAAACAAGATAGCACCCAAGGGAAAGAGGTAATTGGCCTTATAAGGGAAAAGATATTGCCCTTACGTATTTTTTTTGTGAAAGTTCTCCAGATCTCACAAGACCAACAATTTTGGATGCTATTGCATGTGAAGATGCTACAAATTGTACCTGTTCACCTTTATCAGTCCGTCATAGTTCTCATTTACCTCAGTTTTGCATGTCATGCTTTCCAATAGTGGCCTTTATGTATTTTAATGACATTTAATTAGTTGCCTTTTATCCAGCCTTAGTCTCTCAAAGTATATTACAAATCAGTGATTATAACAATTCTAGTCATCTGATGTGATGTAAGACAATTCAGATCTAGTCCCAGAATAATGAAAACCAACAACAAAATAACCCAAAACAATAAAAGGCTATGATATTGTCTTGTCCTAGATTTCTTTGCAGTGCTTCCCAAACTTATACACGATAGATTGATGATTGTATGTGTTGTTTGTGTTGTCAAGGTTATGAGAAATATGCCACAGAGTTTATAGTCATATTACTGACTAAAGATAGTTAAACGGACAAAACCTTAATGGTTTTGCACATGGTTTTCTAACCTCTACTTTTGGATTGTCTCCTCCCCTCCTGTAGTACTAACCAGATGAGATGTTAGCAGCCCATGAATGAAATGAAAAAGACCATGGAATGAGCAGATGAATGAATGACAAGATAAATAATATATTTCTTTAGAAAAAAATACACAAACACACACCTTTTTGCTTATCACATATGATGATGTATTGATTGATTGATACACATACATAGCATAAGCATTTCACAATTTTGGCACAATGTGCAATTCTAAAATAAGCTATTTTGTTTCGTCAGCCCCTACTGTATTAGCTAAATAACATCTAGAATATTTTAGCAAAATATCCTCACATTTGTACTAAAGTTGCCTGAAATACACTTCTTTCCATCTCCGTAGACAAAAATAGACTACTACATAAATACTGTGTTGCAAAAATACCCTCTTTATAACTCTCCCTTACCTTCAACAAAGGAGACTTAGCTACTTTAGTATCTAAAATACTTTTCTGAAAGAATATAATTTTTTGGGGTTGGGGATAGGGGTACACTATATATGTAACCAACACAAATTAATTATTTTGTCTTTCTACAACGAATCACTTCTAAAAGCAGCAGCATAAGCTATCACAGATTAGACGAAATTTGCAGGTTTTGATGTATCTCCTCACTTCGCATACCAATTCAACTCTGATTAATGTGGCAAATTCACATATTAATTTCAGGTGCCATTAATGATTCTGATTTATTCAGGGATTTTTGAAGATTTTTAGACTTGGGAAGTAAAGAGAGAGATGGGAATATAATTTTGGGCTTCAATGAGAAATACTTTTATTTTAAATAAATTTGTGTATGGTTAAACTTGTAGTGGTTACATATTTTCTTTCCTCCTCCGGTTTGGCTAATCATAGCAAACAGAGGTCAGCTACAAACTGATTTCTAATCAGCCATAGTGAGTCTTTCTGGGAAAGACTGAGATCTTAGTAAGCTGTGAATCTGAGTGGATGGCAGTTAATAGACTTTTATGATGAGTCACCAATTCGAATTATCTTTTGCTGCAAGATAGCACCCAAGGGAAAGAGGTAATTGGCCTTATAAAATTTGGAATGGTTTGCTTTACAAATTTTAGAATTTAGGAAAGCAGAGAACTCTTTTTAGAGAGATTAGCCTCTTCCGTTGGGAATTATATTTTTTGGCAGTTTTGTGAAAAATTTAGCAAGGATTCTTTGTGACCTCCCAATTTGTAAGTGTCAGCGACTGAAGCATACTCAACACGAAGGCCAATTCCTTACAAAAGGGAGGGCTGCCCCGTGGACAGGACCATCCAAAACCAGGCTGAGCGTGCCGTAATATGAGCACCCCCATTCACAAACCGGCCCATCTAATGTTTCAAGCAAATTGACTCAAAACATTTTTGTTTTTCATTCAAAGCATTACATCTTCCTGCCAAGGGCAGATCTCTCCCCTATATTCTTGGTCATCTCTATATTAGAAAGCCTCTTTGCCTTGGGGAGGTCATGTTGCAATTTGTGTGGTTTTATACTGGGGTGGATGGTAAAACGTCTGAATAGCATTGGAATTGATCGAGATAAGCAGATTAAACGTTTGGACCCATAGCCAAATACCGAAATATCCTAATTCAAACTTTAGAGTTAAAAGCGCAACTATTGACAGTGATTTTGATTTTTTAAAGGTATAAATGGCTCAAGATTTTACAATGAGCACCTTGGATCTGAATCCGGTCTATTTAAGTGTTTTTCTTAGATACCTTTGCTTTGCATTACACCTGCATTTTTCAGTCCTAGATGAAAGGTGGAATTTACAAGTGTTGGCAGTGGGAGACTCCATTCCTTAGACTGTCTCCCATAGCAATAGTACCAAGAAGAACAGCCTTCGGATTCACTATGGATAAAACCACTGAACACAACTGTTCACGAATGAAATATCTGACGCCTGGGAGGGTGGTGATCACTTGAAAAGCATGGGTGGGCTTTCTCCCAGGGGATGAAGTCTCAGAGATCACGATATTGGACTGGCCCTACATCTTAGTGCTTTACTCCCGCTCAAAGATTTCCATCGGGATGATGTCATGAATCTCCACGCCATTACGGAATTCGATTTCGGCTTCCACTTCGTATTGGATGTCGTTGTCATTCAGCTCCTCGTCGTCGTTGTTCATCATCTCCGGGTTGTTGTTCATCTCCAGCTCGTTGTTCCTCCGGTTGTTGGCAGCTGCCCGGATCCTCCGCTCTCTATGGCAGATGCAATCAGGGATATCGTCAGGATCAGCATTGGTTGCAGCCGCAGCTGCAGCCAGAGCTGCCAGCAACATATTGTAATTCTGCCGGCGTAAGGCGTACCCTTCGCGGCGCTGGTTCCAGCGGGTCCTGAACACTTGCACACGGCGCATCACGACTTCTTGCACCTGGAAGAGGAAAAGTCCCGTTATCATGTAATTGTCAGAAATGACCCACGCCAAGTTTAGGGGCACAGTTCTTGGGACTTATCAGAGGTTCAAAGCGGTTGGCTGAATTGTAAATTCGACCCAAAGAGCTGTGTGGTATAGGCTCTGGCTGCGCAGAGAGGAATTTGCAAATTGGAGCTCTGAGTTACTTGCCTAGGCTATCATGGGTAAGGCTACTCGCTACTGTGCAGAAGTCTCGTCTTTAGCGCTTCAGTCCAATGACTGCAATTTGATTTGGTTTTCGCACTCCATACATGGCATGCACATCATAGTAGGGAGAAAGAGCTGGGAAACATTTTATCTGCTCCCATATCTGACAAGAAAGAAGCTTTCATCTGAACCTCTCCACATGACTGGTCATGAAAATATATATGCAAAACATAAAACGGTTCTGGGATTTATGATAATTCTGTTGATTTTCCTTTATCCGATATGGCCGGATAAGACTCTGGTTATCGGAGTGACAGTCTTTTCGGAATAAAATTATTTCTTTCTATGGATACTAATACATAAACAATTCTCTTTAGGATTTAGATTTTTAGATTTATTTTATTTTATTTTATTTTTTTACAATGTATTTTCCAAGAAGTGGCATGGCTTTATCTGGGTTGTTCTTTCCTTTAAACATGGGTCCTTAAAGATCAGGTTTATAATCTAGGAGCCACCAAGAGCGCTGTTGAGGACTTAGGAAACATATTGTTTCCGCATATTTTTGGAGAAGCAATGTGTCCCTAGAGAAAGGTCACTGATAGTTGCCACCCATTCAGCATTTCTCAAATACCAACATTGCCCTCATAACTAAAACTTAAACAGACAATCAGAAGCACCCAAGGTGGACAGTAGGAAGTTTAGAGGAGTTTATAAAAGCACCCAGCAGAAATAAAACAGGAAGTCTTTGCTTCTTCTCACCTGCCCTTTTCAAATAATCCCCATTGGAGTGCTAAGCATATTAATTAAGTACCCAGCTCAGCATGAGGCCAAGGGTTTGAAGTCTAATTTTTAAAAATTATTAACAGAAATGTTCACAGCCCTCTACAATTGTATTCCAAAATTATAACCTCTCCTTTTGTGTGGCGATGACAATCTGCGTTAATTTGTAAACCACACATATTAGAATGGGGCCTTAGTGGCTAGGTTTCAATAATTACACTTTAATAAGAGCAATTATTTTCTACAATACCACAGATTGAGTCTGATGCTGCTTTGATCCAAGAATAAGGACATTAAATCTGAAAGAAAAAAAAAAAAAAACCCCTACAAAAACCCCAAAAACCAAAACATCCCCCCCAAAAAAACAAAAAGTCCAACAAGGAGATTTTCGTTGCTCCTAAAGCAACAAGGGTGCAATCCAAGCAAATCAGGACTTAGCGGCCCGTCAGAATAACATCTGCAATTGGGCCACACGAGCACAGAAAAGACTCAGTGGTAGAAAAACACAACTTGGCTAGTCACGTCACCCTGGAAAGAAAACTGGAGCAGTGAGGCCACTTGAAAAGAGGCCCTTTGGAAACTGTCAAGTACCAGCTTTGTATACACGAGTGGCGGTATTATGTGAAAGGCGTGCTTACGGCAGAGTTGTAGAAGCAGTAAATCACGGCAACGAAGAATCCCTGTAAAGAGGAGGAAGGACAGAGCCGGAGTTACTTTTGTGTGCATTACACTGTACAGCCATCAATATAAATAGTCACCCTGGAGAGGAACATTTTACTGCGGCGAAAGCAAGTCGAGGCTGGATGGAAAGCAGTTACTACCACTCATATTCAGTGCTTCACGACTAGAATATGCCATGTGTTTTTCTTGTTAGAAGAAGTCTGGCCTTTAATCAAAAGGACAGCTCTGGTCAGCATGGCTAATGTGCTGCTGTCTTTAACATGAAGAGTTCTAACAGAATATGCTGATTGGAGCGGATTTGAAAAGAATGCTTTGTACGTGATTTTAAAAACTGAGATCTTGTAGAATTCAGTAAAGAAAACTTTTACAGGTATGAGTATCACAGTGCCTGGCTATGGGCCAGACTGTGCCCGTGTCTTCACGGTGAACTAGTGCAGTGCTATACCCACAGCCAAGTTCGTCTCTCCAAGAAGGACACAGACGAAGGGACCTCAGAGATCCCGGTCACTACTCAGAAGTTCCCTTACGTTTAAGCCTTATCAATAGGAATGGCCAAAGCAATTATTAAAACAATCCCTAAACTTTATTTTTAGCCCTATTAATTTTGACTTCTAGTCGTAGAAAGTATAATTACTTGGAAATGTATAATCAAGACAGCAAAACTCTGGCCTAAGAGCCCATGGCAGACTCAGCTCTGCCTTAGGACCTTCCATGCCCCGACTTGCTTTCAAAATACCCACTACTATGTCTTCAATGGGCCTGTGGATCTGGGGCAGACTGAATGGAAATAGCCATTCTCCATTTTTGTGTGGCAGACATTGGGGAAGCCCCCGAGGGCCCATTCTGTGCTCTCCTGCAAGGGGACAGACCTGGATGTCCTTCCCTTTACAGACCCTGAAAGTCACCCGGTGGATTCCTGACACCCCTGTGACCAATGGAGGGCGACAGAGCAGAAGCCACGAATGGCTCTGTGCAAATTCATTACCCCTCATCGCAAAACTGATTCAACTTGAATTTACTTATGAAAAGAGGTAATTGCAAGTTACCAAGCGGGAGAATATGCCTACCCTTGCAGGGATGCCTGACCTTATAGACATTCTAGGGTCCTGACCTCTCTCATCATGGTCAAGGCAATCAAATGAAATCACTGGGGGGAAAAAAAAACTGGATGGCCGTTTAAGAGGAAAACAGCTCCCAGCTCGGGGTCCCGCAGAAGGATTTCATACCGATACAACATCTGCTACCCTGCTCTGTGCTTTCAAGGTCTGAGCGACCATGCTGGTAGTAACCTAGCTGGGCAGGTATGGAATAAGCACACCCGGGAGGCTTCCTTACCTGGAAGTGGCTCAGAAAGTGCATCACGTAGTCATAGACCAGGGCCAGAGTCTTGGTGTGAGGCCTCCAGGGGAAAATGACGAACTGGATTCCCAGCAGGGGCACCAGGACCAGAGTGGCCTTCACTGCCTTCAGGTACCGCAGGACATCATGATGGCCGTCATTCCTAATCTTCTTCACGAGCACGTAGAGGATGTGGAGCAGAATGAAGAAGTTGATCTGCAAAGATATGATGTTATGAATGAGCAGACCACCCAGATCAGTACCACTGAAGGACACCTGCTTTAATTAATTCTTTACTCAACGTGGGGAGCAGAGAGCACCTACACAGGATGTGAGACTGCCTAAAAGGGCATATTCTCCCCCAACCCAACCTCTCACTGGTCACGTGATTTTGGGTGAGCTTACTTGAGTCTTTGGGCCTAGTTTTCCTAATGAGTCAAGTATCCTGGCGATGTCTCTCCTCGGAAGGGCTGCTGTTACAAACAGCATGGGACTGTACGTGAAGTGCATGGAATAATTTAAGTGCATGATCACTGGTAGGTAGGGTGGCGGCTCATGCACCAAAGATAAAGTGGAAGATGGTTTTGCTTGGCAGAGCCCAGGGGGAAAAGATCAGGGGGACTTTGCTGTCCCTTACTTTCTTACAAGCAACATCTTCAACATTCCCCAGCCCTTGCTCTTTACCTTTAACTAAGAGAATTTAGTTATAATATTGTTTAAAAAAAATTTAATCTTTGGTGTAGGGTGTATAGAAACGAGTGTATGTACCCCCCTTCCCAATGTTATTAAATACAACTATTTTTTCCTCCAATCCAAGACTCTCAAATCAAATTGTTCTTCTTCTTATAGATCACTTAATTAGCTTCATGTAAATATTACATTATATATGCTATATAGAAGCATCTTCAAAGAAACCCTCAGAGATAACATTGTTAACAAGAGACTCCAAAAGCAGTTCTCACCGTCAGGGCGCCCATGATAGGGCCATGGATGATGTAAACCAGAGCGGTTTCCATGCTCATCCAGCAGCTGGGGGGGAAAAAGGCGGTGGGGGGAGAATATATCAGTACAGATGCATTTTATTTACATTTATTTATTTAACTGAAATGACCACAATACCTGTCATTGAATATCTTCACTCTAGCAATAGCATGGGCTATGGTTGGCAGCACGGGGGACCCTAAAAATGTAAAAAAAAAAAGTACCAATTACACCTGGTTTTCTGGCCGTAAGCTATCACTGCAGGTGAATGGAAAACGGTAGTTTAAAAAACAGCGGCACATTTAACATCTTTGTCAAGGTATTTCCCTGATGTGTTTGCACAGATTATCTTTCGTCAAACCAGGTAAATGTGTTCTTGGTTAGCATATCATGTGCTTTCAGAGAGTTTGTTAAGAACACGCAAATAATCGAAAGCCTTTCTTAGTATGGCAGGTACAGTCTATGCTCCTTAGGACTATTCTGCCATTGTGGTTAGTGACGTAGACCAGAAAGCCTTTCATGGTGCGTGAACTGGGCCCTCTCCTGGGGAGAAGCTGGTCACCCGGAAGGAATGTAACCTGGGACAGCATGTGGATGTGGTCGTGTCATTGCTCTGAAAGCGCTGTTCCTATTTGCAGTACTTCTTCTCGGCCGTTTGTTTTCCTGTGTGTGTCATGCCCTTTGATCCTGTGCTTTTTCAATAAGAACACTTCAGAAGCGCCAGTGTAAGTTCTGGCTGCCGAACCTTTGTGAAGGCAGCATCGTATTGACTTCTCTGCCTACACCTGAAGTACTAGTGGAAACAATTTTGAATTTATAAACATAATGATGGAGATAGTTACTAGCAATGCATCCTGCCAGGTTACATCTTTTTATAAATAAATGTTCATTCTATACAGGTAGCCTAGAATAAAGTTGTGATTTTTGTAAGAAAAATATATCTGTTTTTCTCAGATGTACCCATGTACAACAGAATATGATTTAATTTGATTTGAAAAATTTGTAGAATGAGTTTTTAAGTGATTATCAGACTAAGAAATGTGTCTCAGAAGTAAATTAGACTTACACATTTTGATTTTCTGTGAATTATATGGGAAAAGAGAGTGCCTGAAAATATTGAGTTTTCACCAAGAACAACCTTACCTTCTAAACCCATGAAGCGTATAATTTAATAGGAGCATCGATTAAATGTTTGACCTGAAAGAGTTTTGAGTTTGACTATTTATACAAAACATAATTGTGCTGTATCTACAGCAGTTCTAACATACCATTTCCCCACTTGGGTTTAGAGGTATTCATTCTCTGGATTCATTCTGAAATACTTACTTTTAATTAGACAACAAGAGAGGTATATGGAGATTTCACTCCCATCTCACCATTTTGTAGAAAGGAAAAATGTGTTTCTTACATATCACATAGAGGAGTATAGGCCACATATCTGTTAATTCCTAAGGCTCTTTGCTTTCCTCTAGACAGGATACCTCTTTTCTGCACTTAAAAAAAATAATCCTCACCAAAGAATACTGATTTTAGAGAGAGGAAGGGTGAGAGAGAGAAAGAGAAACATTGATGTGAGAAACATTGATCAGTTGCTTTCTCTATATACCCCAACCAGGGTTCAAACCCACAACCTAGGTATGTGCCCTGACTGGGAATCAAACCTGCAATCTTTTGGTGTCTGGAAGGATGCTCCAATCAACTGAGCCACCTGGCCAGAACTCATTACATTCTTTTTGATACAGCTGAACAACTGGTTCATTTTCTCCTTTGAATTGTTTATGCATGTTAAGCAGATGTCTTCATTAATCTGTCTATGATGATTCTGCAGAAAGCTTTTATAACTAATTCACAATGTAACAGTATGTATGGAAAGAGCAGTATAAATTGTTCCTTCCAGGATGCCCTCATCCCTGCTGAATGTCACAGGCAAGAATAAATGTACATCCTTTTTCTTCCATGAAATGTTTTTGAGTATGGCAGATGGGTGTTCTTAAACAGTCAAAACTGGTACAAGAATATGCCATACATTTATTTCGGAAGAAGTAAGTAAAATAGATCAAACAGAAATGGTGTCTCTGTGTGTGTGAGTGTGTGTGGCAGGCCTGGGTTGAGTTTTTATTTTCAGATCTTCAATTGCAAGGCATCTGATCAGCATCAATCATTACTCTTGTGATGATCAGAATTGCTATGGGGAGGCTTAAATTATATCCAGTTGATTCTTGGCATGACCAGCTCTTGGAAGATTAGAAATTCTTGAAAGGGTGTGTTTGAGGCTGAGAAGGGCAGGGGAAGGAAAGATCAACCTCTTGTGCAAGACTGGAGCTAAAAGAAAAAACAGTAAAAGCCCATTTTGATCTTTGTATTCTTGAGTTGTTTTGAGGACAGAGAAAAAACAGGAGAACCTAGCACCTGTGGCAGGGCCAGCAGATTAGTCAGAAACCTGATTTCTAAGTTCCCCAGATGGTCAAGGACTGGGCTGCCTCTACTCCTCCCTAGGGTGGGCTGGCCCACAAGGGGAGCTGTCTAGTCAGTTCACAATCTACACCAGAGCTATCCCTAGGCAATATTTGTTTGATCTGCTTCTATGACTTCCCAGACACATTCTATACCATTGGTAACAATGTCTGTTGGGCAGGGATTTAAATATTAAGGCTGATGTCCTCAGAAAGCTTTTGGGTTCCAAGAACATTAGAAATATATAGACAGAGGTGAGCATGGCTCAAAACACAGTTGGAGGAAATACATACCCCAGCCCAAGAGGTAATACCACTTCAGCGTCTTTCCCGCATTGAACACGTTCACCACAAGGAGCCGGTGCAGAAAGATCCCTTCGCAGAGCATCCAGAAATAATTGCAGAGCATCAGGTAGTTGTTGATGCAGTTCAGAACCTTGCAGCTCACCTGTCAGAAAGAAATGGAGATACTCAGTGGGAGACATGGGCCAGGATTTGACAGTAAGCAGAGGGTAAATGTGACAAAGAGTCCAAGTTTCTGCATTCAGCCCACATGCAGCTTCCCCAAGCATCTGTTAACACATGCCAGCTTCCCTCTGTACCCACAAATCAGAGTCATGGTGCATAGGTCTAATTTTACTACATATAAACAAGCCATCTAGGGGAATGGAAGCCTAGACCCTAAAATGTCCTTTTCTTGTTACACTTTGGTGACTTGCATGGATTAGACAAATTTATTTTTCTTCAATGACTCTGAGACCCATCAGTTTCTAGAACAGCCAAGGATCTGTCCCATGACATTTAAAGCCCCTTTTCCATGGCCAATGAGGTGAATAACCCAGAAATGGTTAATGCTGCTCCTGAAGTTCATTGATATGTTAGTGATATCTCTTTAGGCACAAGGAGGAGATCATCAGGGGATGCGTTTGTCATATATGATCCAGGAGCTATGCTGAACCCAACTGATGACCTTTGCTTTAGTAACTGGCTGGCCTTTTAGTGCTGATAATCCTAATCACCCAAGATCATAAGCTCCCTGTTCCAGCAGAGTCACAATGCAATGGGAACTTCCTGACTTTGATATACATACAATATATATATACATACATACATAGTAAAACCCCAGGAGGAGGAACTATAGAGCTTCATATCAAGATGTTACTGCAGGTGGCAAACTAAGGGGCAAAAAGGTTATGTCAACTTGAAAACTGTCAATGTGAACATTCTCCAAAGCCAGCTGAATGAAGGAGGAAAGTCAGCATTAACTAACTTTGTAGGGAAGTGCTGAAGTGTCTCCAGAGGAATCTGAAGGTATAATAATTTTAATTAAATGTGAGTCTGTCATGCAATCCTGAGCTGACTTCTGTCTGATAAAGCCTTAGAGAAAATGAATTGAGTCTATGGAACTGTAGACATGATTCAGTGTGTTTGGGGCGAGGGGGGGGAGCACTGGAGGGAAAAAAAGTCCCATCTGAGATAAGTACAATGGAAGATGATCCAGGAAGTAGCCAAGGAAGCATTCTGGAAATATTCAGCAAACAAAAATACTGTCAACAGAAAAGCAGGATGCACACACAGTGGAAAAGAAAGTCTGCTGGCAATGCAGCAGAGGAGTAAGCATTAACAGGTTGCTATGCTCAAAAGTCTTTTGCTATATGATGTAATGAGCATTCTTCTCTGGGGATTCTCAAGGCCATGGCTGATCTATTTTTATATTCTCAGACCACAGTCCTTTTGATTGTTTGTGGTTTACAAAACTCCGAGTATTCCCTTCATTCTGCTTTTACACTTAGGCTCTTTTGGATCGAAGCAGAATTTAACAAATGCTCTGAGTTTCCCCCATCTCCTATACTGTGTATCACAGAAATGAAACTGGGTGTCACCGTTAGAACATGACAAGGGCTCAAGGCCTGATGACAATGGTTAACAACTACAATAGAAATAATACTAGGAAACAAGTGCAAGTTGCTCTGTGCCAGACTCTGTCGGGGTTTTTGGGTATATTAGTTTATTCAATCCTCACAAACAACTCTAGGAGGAAGGGGCTATTGTTGCTTTCACTTTACACATTGGGAAAGTGAGGCACCATGAGGCTCAGTAATTTGCTCAAGATTACAGAATGAGTAGAAGAGCTGGGATCTGAGGTTCTATAGTTCAGCAAGAACAGGGCTATAGTATTTGGAGCAATCTAGTGAGGCACAGCAAATACCAGATTGACTGTTGCTCTGTAGCTATGTTCTAGCAATAAACCAACATGCCCCAGAAAAATGTATGAAACTCCTCGTACTTCAACTGGAAGTTTTTCTTGAGAATGAAAGTGAATCTAGAAGACTTTCTGCACTAAGTTCATGAGAGCCTTTAAAAGCAGTGGACAAGCAGATGTTGAGATGAGGGCTGGCTACATCAACCATGCCACAAGAGACCACTTGTAAGCTATGCTTCTCTGTGTAGAGGCACCGGCCAGATAGACCAGGTAAGAGAAACTGGAAATTGGGTTGATGCCTATAGCCATTTTAGGAATAACTTCTTAAGATCCGTAATAAATTTTTCAAATACAATGTTAAGTAATCCAGTTTAAAGAGAAGAAAGAAGCCCTCCCTGTTTTTCCACATCATCCGATCTTTATTGAAATAATATTTGTTAATTTTGACATGGAGTAACATGAAGTAGCATCAATGGCCAGACTGGGAGATTGTATCCCATAGATCACATCTTGGCATTAGTCTCTCTGCACTGTCCCTCAAATCCATGATCGTTTTTCATTCCCAATCTCATGGCTTCCAGAGCCTACAAAATGGATAATTCCAATGTCGTTTTATCTGCCACTGATCTCTCATCTCGAACACTCTGCTGCTGTCCCTGTGCCCTCCCTCACATTTCTATACTATTCCCTACAGCAGCTGCCTCTGGGTTAGCCGGGAGGAGTCCATTCTCCTCGCTGGGTTTCATCGGTGTCTCCTGCCTCAGCCCTGAGCATCTATTCTGAGTAGATCATCCTATGACTAGGATGGAGTTCCAGCAGAGTGTGGTGGCTCAAATGTACTAAACAAATGAGAATGAGAAGAAATCCACTTTGTTTTTTGGAACTTGGGACTCATTTGATTTTCCTTATACAGGAGGCTACAGAAAATGTGACTTGATTGTTTTGGCTTTTGAGGTGCAAAAAACTCAGGTTCCCAGGAAAAACTAACCATCTCCCTGTATTGTATCTTTCAGACCCAGATAAAAAGTACAGACTCATTTCTTTCCAGAAAGTGACAAGGATGCCACTTCCTTTAGATGCAGCGAGAACAATACTTTTAATTGTGTCTCCTGACTTTCCACATGAAGAAATAAGCGGAGAGAGAGAGGTCGAGAGAGAGAGCAATAAATGAAATTTTAAATATTATGGAAATGAAATGCTCCAATTATATGGATGACAATGGGCAATTTTCACATCACTCAGTAAACTGAGGATCTATTCAGACCTTATTTATGCCATGAGTTCTTATGAGTTTAACTTTAAAAAAATTCAAAGAAATAGAATTTTCACACTTGGTTTTGTAAGAGAGAACCTGCTTAACCTAAAAACTTCCAATGGAAGGAACTGATTACTCTGATAGGAGAGGGACCGTGGACCCATAGGGACTCCTCACTGAGGAGTGAGGACACTGTTTTATTTTGCCCCTAAAAAATGTACTCTAATAGAAGTAGTGCAGCAACAGTTGAAATGATGCAGCCACCTTTTACGAGAAATAACTCTCTTTTTAAAATATATCCCCTTGGGCACTGGGAAGGAATATCTTTTTGCCTCTTAACTGCTGACTCAGTGATCTGAGAATTGGGTCAAAATGAAAACAATAACCCATAAGTCTTAATTTGCTTAGGAGAGAAAGTGTCTTTAAAATATATATATATATATATATATATATATATTCATTCAAATTAGGCATTGTGGATCACAGATAGATGAACTGATCATGGACATGCTTTTCCTTAATTTTCATGTTAGTTGCAATTTCAATTAATATTTGAAGATTGAAAATGTCCAACAACTTCCCTTTCTAAAAGAAGTTTTGCGCTTTTTGTTGTTGTTGTTTTTTTGTTTTTGTTTTTGTTTTTTTGTCCTTTCTAGTTTTTTCTTTGCTGTCTCTACTCTTGTTGGCTATGGAAAACATGAATCTAATGTTTTCTGGAATGTCAGTTTTTCAAGAATAATGCAACATTTCACCTAATTCATTTAGTTTTACAAGCAATAACACCATGTTAACTATTTACAAATACTACATCTTTAAAAATAGAATTGAAAACAAATAAGGCAGTCCTCACTGGATCCGAGTTCACGTAGTCATTATTGGGGACCACTAGGGTCAGGTAGACGAGGACACCAATAGAATTCAGGATGTAAGTCATAAACATGTGCTTATGCATGGTGACCCGTTGGCAGGAAAGAGACCTGGAAGAAAAAGTAACAACATTAACCAGTGCTAAAACGTTGAAGTACCACGGGGTGTTGGGGGGGAGTGGATGACATCATTTTGGTAGTATTTGTAATGTTCCCTTTAGCAATAGTTGAGAGAATGTATTGAAGTGAGGTTGGTCCCATCTATAAGATCTTCCTGCATTCTAAAAAACAGTTTCCCCACAGCTTTCAGGTCTCATGTGACTTTGTCCAACAAGTGCAAGAGTGGGTGATAAAAAAAAAAAAATCACTTTTAATTAGAATAAATGCCCCAAAATTAATGGAGAGAAGGACTCTTACAGGAGAAAACCGTTACTGTTTGGCATGTGCTTCGGATGAAAAGCCGACTACTTATTGATGTAACCAGGCAGAAACTGTGTGGCCAATGGGACAGCGGAGCAGGAAGGGAGAAGGAAGGGGCCCGTGACAAAGCACTGGGTCCATGCCCTTGACCCTGACACACACAGACTTTATGAAGTCTCCCGCCAGCTTCTCTTTTGACATTTCCTCTGAAGTCTTTTTATCTCTCATGATCCAATGGGAATCAACTCTTTGGTTCCTACTGTCCACAACCTCCTGATGGTGGAGCTCAGGCAAAGGCAACGAATTTTAAATAGGCTCAAATTTGACCTCATTACGAGGCATCCTGAGGTTTGGATCTGTCGATAACCTATCCTGGTTGCATAGCCATTTCCCACCGTTTGGGTGCTAAGCAATTTGTTGGATTTTTTAAAGTTCCTTCCTAAACTTTTTTATTTTTTTTAATGTTCCATGTGTATTTATTTATTTATTTTTATATATTTTATTGATTTTTTACAGGGAGGAAAGGAGAGGGATAGTTAGAAACATTTCTTGAAGGTTTCAATATAATTTCTACTAATTGTTAAAATTTTTCTTGCACTTACTTGATGTCACTTACACTGAACTTTTTGAAATGAGTTTAAGGTACTTTAAATTTATTACAATTCATTCAGTAATCCAACAACATTACTGTGTACCTGCTATAAAGACTTAGACCTTCTGGTAGATTCTAAGTCTATATAGATCAGTGGTCGGCATATTCATTAGTCAACAGAGCCAACTATCAAAAGTACAACGATTGAAATTTCTTTTGAGAGCCAAATTTTTAAAACTTAAACTTCTTCTATCACCACTTCTTCAAAATAGACTCACCCAGGCCATGGTATTTTGTGGAAGAGCCACACTCAAGGGGCCAAAGAGCTGCATGTGGCTCTCGAGCCGCAGTTTGCCGACCATGGATATAGATGAACAAAACAGCTAGTAGCTTTGGCCTTCAAAGACCTTATATACAATGCAATTGCTTATTTACTCTTAGAGTGATAACTAATATAATTTTTCTTGCTACTTCATGACTCTCATATATCTCTTATGATTTTTAGAAGATTCCCCTACCCCATGCAACTTTCACAGAGTTTTCCATTTATATCAGTATCTTAAAGAAGAAAGAAAAAGCAGATACTATGAGGGTACTTACTTGAAAAGCAGGAAAATCACCATTGAAGCTACCAAGGCAGTAAGAGAAAAAGTGTGTCCCGAAATGGCCAGGTAGAACATCCTGAATGCATGCTGGAGTAACAATAGCAGCAACAATACCAGTTACAAAGACCAATGCAGTGAGTGAATGAATGACTATCAACGGAGGGAATGATTTCTATTAAATATCAGTGTAAATCAACAACTGTTTCCCTCCTTTCAAGTAACTTAACTAAAATTAAAACAAGTATTTCAAAGAATTAAATTATATTGAATTATAATAAACTGGATGAATAGATTGAATATTATAGATTAAGAATATGCATGACGTGTGGGAAGAACACAAGACTGGATTTATCAGAGCTGTTCTTTACTCAGAGTATTATTATTAAGTCTTTGTGTACTTTCATAAAGTCAGTCACTTCACCTCTCTAGACCTCAGTAGTCCTCACCTATAATTTGGTTAGACTAGATGATTTTTAAAGAGATTATATGAAATACTATTAGAAGAAACACCAATAGATACTGGGATACAGAAATATTGAATGTAAAAGAATGGGAAAAGATGACTCAGATTAACACTAGCCATAAGAAAACTGGTGTAATACCATATAGGTGCAGATATTAAGTCAGGAAGATATAATAACTTTAAATTTCTATGCACCTAATAATATAAACTCAAACCCCCATGTAAACATAAAGCAAAAACTGATATCTCCTAGTAACCAATAAAACACAGACAATGGAATTATCACCAAATACTGAAATCTGAAATGGAACCCACCTTCATTTTTTCAGCAGTGAAAGCATAGCACATACTGTAGTTAGTCAAGGTATCATTCATGTCAGCAGTTAGTTCCCAAGTTCCATTTGCTTCACAGTGTTTCTCAGCCTTTTCTGTTAATGAAACATAACAGTTATTGCTTACCATTTCAAAACAACAAGAAGGAAAAATAAATTAAGGCTTAAAATCATTTCAAAGTGTTAACCGTTTCATGGAACTTGAATATGAGTATCGTAAATGGAGACTACCATGAACCTACTAGATTTGGGGGATGTTTTATATAAAAAAGTCTTAATATATGGTGTCTCATTTTAGCTCTGTCAGAGCCCTGTAAAGCAGATATCGCTATCTCCATTTTACAAACAGCCCAGAAATGGAGAAGTTATGGAATTTAAAAAGTCAGTAGCTTGTGGGTGAGCGAGGATTGACTACTAGGTCTTTCAGATTCCAAAGTGTTACCTACACTTTACCTTCTGTTTTTGTTTGTTTGTTTGTTTGTTTGTTTTAACAGACATTAAACTTATGATTTTTTATAGAACTGTGAGAAGAGCAAGACATACTTTTCTTCATTTATGTGCAATATTTATTTATTGATTTATGAAATTGCAGGGTTTTTTTTGGGGGGGGTGTCAAATGATCAAATATCGGCAATTTCATATGGCTAAATTCAATAGAACAAAGAAATTCAAAATTAGGGGATGCATCTTCTCTCTATGCCATTAATATGAAGTGTTTGACTCCAAGGATCTTACATACCTCTTTGTTAAATTTGTTTTTTACACTCACATATTCCTTTAGACTATTCACGTCTTTTGAATTTCAATCTTGTTATCCACTCTTTCATGATCTACCAAGCACTTTGTCTAAAATGAAATCTCTGTCATTTCATTAAGCTGTTTTGTATATGATCAAGACATAGTTTTGGGCTAATCATTACATCCTAAAGAATATATATATATTTTTAAAATTATAGGTATTTTTTAAGGTGTGCTTTTCTTTTGAAATTGGGTTTGTCCCCCCACCTGAGGTAGTTTTATCCAAAAACCAGACTGGAAAGATGGGTCTGTGCCTGGAAATCTCTGATTTGCTGACCAAAAACTTGTATTTTCATCAATAACTATAGCCACTTTGGCAAGAGTCCATTGTCGCTTTGCAACTGGCATTGTAGCCCGAATTGCAGAACAGCTCTTTGTGCCAATCAAGTTACCACTAATGTAGTTGTCCAACAAGATTTAATGAAGCATCATTTATCTGGAGGAGTCAGTAAAAACCTGGAGGATCACCACCAAATGGCATTTAGTTCGAGTTTACAGGAATGTAATGATGAGTGGGGCCCAGGATTAAGTCCTTCCTCTCTTCACATCCCAGCTCTTCCATCAAAATGAGAATTCCCAGAAGTGGCTGACCTGAACTGGTTTTAAAAATGCCCCCTTCCCCTCTAATCCCATTTACATTATATATGTCTTCCTGGGGTAGAATTTAGGATCTCATCTTTGAAGAAAGCACAAACAGCATCTCCCAAACATTGTCTTGAAGTTAGATGAATTTCTCTGCTTTCATCTGGATTCCAGAAACTTTCCTGCTTGCAGTTACTATCTGACATTTTTCTGTCTTAACTGATGTCCTCACTGTCATTGGGCAGTAACTTCTTGCCATTCACAGTCAATGAGTGAGACTAACTAGATGGGCTGCTTGACCCTGAAACATGGTAGAAAACTCTGACCAAACAACTCTAAAGTCTCAGTTGATTTTCCACAGCCTCGTAAGTGTGAAACAAACACTGATAACTAGATGGCTATTAAAGGGTGGGTATGGTATACAGAGTGGATACATTGGACAAGATAATTAATTTCATGGGCAGAATAGGGCTGCACAATTGAAAACGTATGAATTGTTTATTTCTGGAATTTTCCATTTAATAGTTTCAGACTATAGTTGACTATAGTTAACTCAAAACATGGAAAGCAAAACTGTGGCTCTGCGGGGGGGATGACTGTAATATATAAGAAAATGTTTCAAAAAGGAAAAAAATGATATTCAAAGAAAAGTGTTCCTATATTACTTTTACAACCAAAGTGAATTTGGTGTCACTATTTTACTAAACATACATTTGCTGAATGTTCATATTGTGCAGGACACAGAGCTGGGTATTAGTACAATTCATTGTAACAGTATTTATTTTATTATCTGAGCATATTTTAATGATTTGCTGGAATAGAAATCTAGTATCTGATTTATTTTTCCTTATATATCATGGTTTTATGTAATTTTTATCATTATATAAAATTACTATTGGGCATGTTACACCAGCTTGCTATTTGCAACCTCTAGATTAAGCATTTGCGTAAGTCACTAAAATGTGAGACAATTGAAAATATTTTTAGAAACCATACATTTTGAAAATGGATCACAATTAGTTTTAGAAAAATTAATTGAATTTTTAATTAAAATTTAGTATTATTTAAATTATATAAAAGTGAATTTTTATTCAAAATGTAATGGAATTTATGACCAATGTGCACAATTGACCAGTAACGTGACTTAAAAAGTAGGGATAGCTTGTTGCCCTGGCTGGTGTGGCTCCATGCACGGAAAGGTTATGATTCCTGCTCAAATCCCAGTAGGGGGCATGTAGGAGGTAGCAGATTGGTGTTTCACTCTCATATCAATTCCTCCCTCTCTCTCTCTCTCTTCCTCTCTCTCTCTCTCTCATTTCCTTTTCCCTTCCTCTCTCTAAAAATAAAAAAAAATTCAGATAAATAAATAAAATAAAGACAGGTGGTTAGATGTGTGCAACCAGGTAGTATTTCATTTATGGAAATGCTTCAGAACATGCTAAACTGTATTAGAGTATGAGTAGGTAGGTATATTTTATATCTGACTTTCTTTTGAGGTCCATGAAAAAAACTCTAAAAGCATCATAACAAAATATAAAATAAAAACAGATATTCTACCTGTTGTGTCAAAGTCGGGGAAATAATCTGGGCAATCCATATGGGTTGTGATTCCAGCCGGTGTTTCCTCCCAGCACAGCCATCCATCCCACATGCGCTCACAAAATAAACCTGGCCATTTAGAGAGAACTTAGCATTACCATTGTCAAAAATTGTCCTAGTGGAACTTCATAGTGCATAGACAATTATTCTGGGGATTCTCACTTTGGAACTATGTTAAAAAAAAAAAAAAAAAAAAACAGTTGCAGCAGTAGCAACAAAATAATGGTATTAATTTTACTGACCATTAATGGAATTTACATTTTTGTAGTGTTTTCTCTATTTGTTCATCAAAAGGCACAAGTCTTCTGTGTGGAATCTTTCATCCAAACTCTTCTCTTTAAAGCACCTTTGTAAGTGCTATAAGAAAACTTTTGTGAAAGTATATGCATAATCACCCTTGGATAAATTTACCTTGAAAAAACTATATGGCTTTGGAACCTATGAATCTTACTAACCACGAATCATCATTCCTAATTCAAGGGTGATAAAATTGTTCAAAATTCTAACTGAAGATGCATTTGCATCCAGTTGGATCACATATAAACAGTCTTGTTACTTTAGAATAACACTTTACTAATGGCTAAAATAATGCTCAGTTTGATCACGTTGTGTATTCATCAATGTTGCCTCTAGGTGGTTTCTCACTGCTTTCAAAAATTAAATCTACTCCAAAAGATGAAGATTTGTCTCTACAAGATATTCAAAATAATGAGTATTGTGTGAGTATAAAAGACAGTTCTAAAATAAAAAGTTTCAAATAATAATCAATAGCACAATCCTGAGGTAACTACTAGTAAGACAGAAGTGAAGGTGACTGCACTCACTTGGTCTCTGAAAATAGCATCTTTGTGTTTCCATTGTCTCATTTACTTCAGAGAAATGGTTTCTTTTTGATGGTGAGTTGCATCTAATGCCTTTTCATGTTCTTAAAAACCCTGAAACTACTTCAGACAGAAAAACCGACCTAGTTTATTGTTTAAACAATAAATTAAAATTTTAGCTATCTGAAGACAAACCATGTCTAGTAATAGAGTATATTTACCCCTCCCTCTCCACCCCATGAGTGTTGTCTTAGAATATTATAAGGGTATGCAAGATCTTGTTGGTTCTTTTCAAATGATTGAGGGGACAAGGGAGAGAATTTAAATGGACATAGCCATGCTTGGCCATGTACATTCTCCCTTTCATTTTCCCGTGGGCTCTCTACAGCTAATCAAATATGGTTGGCCCTGCGAATATTTGGGCAATCACATAGAGCATTTAGAGAAGGTGATAAGCAATTCTGCCCAAGAGATATATTTCCCCAGTTCACCTGGAAACTGGAGGTAGAAAGGGAAAAGGAATAGCATGAGTTATGAACCAACTGACAGGTAAAGGAAGATACTGCCTGATTAACCCAAATAAAACCAGGTTTCATCAAGTTCCACCTCAGGCACATTTTCTGCCCACCATTTTCAAATTCCCTTCTTGTCATTTTCCAATTCCTTTCCTTCACTTAGTCCTGTATTGTTCCTGCTTGCAAGGTGTGAATACTATTATTGCAGTGATTTTGTCCTTTAATGCAGATGTTAGCCAGAGTCTTCAGATGAACTTGAGCAAATAAACTAGGCACGTCTGCTGCATGAAATGCACAAAAATACTATGATATGAAAATAATAACAATAACCATTGTTAAAACTGCTGATATATTAACTTAAATTTAGTCAATACCTATTTAGTCACAGAAGAAAATAAACCTTCAGGGATATTTGAAACACATATTTACATCAGTCCTTCTTTTTACCTTCTCTATGGTGTTGGGGATACTTTGCAATTTGGACTATGCATTTGGCTTGTGCAACCCGCATTTTCCATTTTCCCAATCTCATCAAAAATGTATCCTTTTCATTTGGAGCGGTTAAATCAGTTTTAGTAGAGGAAAGGGTTGGACACTGTATTAAAAAAAAAGTCAGTTACTTATAGAGAGTATGAATGGGTTTTTTACATAAATAAATGAAACAGTAAAAAAAAATTGAAAACATTTATTTTTCCTCCTATAAACAATTATACACAATTTCTATGTGGAATATTTTTGCTTTATAACATTCATTCCATTCATTATTGAGACTATAGCTGCCATACAAACTCATGCACATATAAGATTTTAAAAATTGTATCACCACTGTAAAGTTTAGATGTATACAAAAAAATAACCTGATTTCTAAGAAATATAAATATTAAATCAACTTTGTCATCTTTGGAACTCTTAAGAATCATTAATCATATTATTTAAAATAGATATACATATTAGTGCACTTAAATAAGCTTTTTTATTGGATTTCTTCAGCTGATTTTTATTTGTGCTTATATTATGCACACTGCCACAAATTTATTCTATTTATTACATAGAACAAACAAATCTGTTCTGAGATATTCTGCTTTGAATAACTGGCCTTACTCCCTTTTATTGGTTTAATTAACTGGTCACCTATGCAGAGTTATTCATTTGCATTAGTGAAAATCAATGTACATCTTGAATACTACTTTTAGCTATTTTTCATTTTTGGTACAGGCTGACATTAGTTTTGTCAGTCTCAATCCTTATCACCATCCTAGGTATTATCAAAATTGTGTGTGTGTGTGTGTGTGTGTGTGTGTGTGTGTGTAAAGATCACTATATAATTGTGTTCATAGACTTGTCAATTTCTTTTGTGGCTATGACATTTTAGTTGTGTTTGAATCTGTGATTTTTTACATCCAGGTTCTGCATGGAGATTTTTTTGAAGTAGACTTTCAAGCTTCAATCTGCACTGACTTTTCTTCTTCAGAAGGTAGGAATACTCCTTGCCTCTCTATCTGTTGAAACATACTTTTATTTGACTTTTCTATGTCTCATTAATCTAACATTGTGGTTTCCCAAAATGTATTGATAGTTAGTAAGAAATGAAGTAAAATACTAAAGAACCTGCAAAGCCAAATACAAAGTGGTGGGACATGAGAGGCTCAATGCATTTTAGCTAATGTTACTGAAATTAAAATGAAATAAAGTTATTTTGTAGCTTTTTGATCAGTGAAGGTTGTGAATAGAGAATGTTGGTAAAATTCTTGTGGGAGGATTCAGATTTCCAACTGATTAGTTGGGAGAAACCAACCAGGAAGCTGAAGATATGGGCTGAATCAGTGGTCTGCAAACTGGGGCTCAAGAGCCACATGCCGCTCTTTGGCCCCTTGAGTATTTTTTTTTTTTTTTTTTTTTTAGCAAAGGCCTGCTTAGGAGTACCCTAATTAAATTAATAACAATGTACCTATCTATATAGTTTAAGTTTAAAAAAATTTGGCTCTCAAAAGAAATTTCAATCGTTGTACTGTTTGGCTCTGTTGACTAATGAGTTTGCTGATCACTGGGCTAGCTCATCTTATAATGGAACAAGAAAGAGCAATTCACAGCATTTCTCAAAGAATAAAAACACGAAGGCCTATTTGAATATAAGGATTGGAGAGTAGTATTAGTCGAATAGTCCAGATATTTTAGCATACATTACTAGAAAAACCTGGTAGAGATCTCAGAAAGGGGACTAGTTAGGAAAGAAAAAATTCTTAGAATTGTTTTGGTGGTACTAGCAAGCCATCTGAATAGAAATTGTTTGCAAACAGAGGAGGAAAAATAATTATTATTGTTATAACAATAGTGTTATAACTCAAGATGTTATACTTATTATAAATGTAGTTGAAACCACTCTTTAAATATTAGGATTGTTTTTAATTTTAATGCCTCTTGAATTTATGGCAGAGAAAAGAGAAGGTAATGAGCCAACAAAAATAATTTAAAATGTACAAACCCTTTACCAATGTAGATGAACACCATTCTGTTGTCATATGACCTTTTCCCCACTGGTTTTAAGATCAATCTCAAGCAGTCATTGAACTTGAGGAGCTAAGTACTATGCTAGATGCTGAGGGTACAGCGCTGAATAAAATAAGTATAGATCTTGCCTGCATATGGCTTACAGTTTAGCAAGAAAGATCAACACTATAAAATATTTCCAGACACCAGAAACTGTGAAAGGTCAAGAACTATAAGTTATTAAATGCTTAGATATTCCATCAGGAATTGAAATGTGGTTTGGGAGTATAAAAAAGTATATTTCAGAGATTTAATATTAAGACTTCTTTTTGTATTTTATTACTTTAACATTTCTATGAATGTGTGTTAATAATTTGACGAAAGGTAATGTAACCATGGTCTTTAATAAATCATGGTATCCTCACAATAAAATATATTAATGATTTATTCAGCTTATGTATATAGTTTAGATACTTTGTGCTTCTATTGTTAGAATCTTTAGTTGATATGAGAATCATCCTATATAATAAAAGCCTAATATGTTAAGTGTCTGGTCGACCAGTAGGTCATCCAACCAATCAAAGCACAATATGTTAATGATATGCTAAGGCTGATCAACTGCTTCTATGTGCACTGACCACCAGGGGGCAGATGCTCTGACCAGTAGGTTAGCTTGCTGCTAGAGTCAGGCCTATCAGGACTGAGAGAGATGGGCCAGACACACCCTAGAACCCTCCCATGTCCCTCCTGGCCCCGATTGTGCACTGGTGGGGGTCCCTGGGCCTGGCCTGTGCACTCTTGCAATCTGAGACCCCTAGGAAGTTTCAGCCTGATCCTGCAGGCCAGGCTGAGGGATTCCACTGGTACACGAATGCACCATGCCTCGAGTCAAGTTATAAATTACTTTCTGGGCCACTTTCTCACCATCTTCAAATCAAATTAGAAGATGGAATATGTGGAACTTAGTTTGGCTTCTGGAGAGCAATGTTTATTTTGACTAATGTCCATTCACTCATACCAAAAACATTCTTCCATATTTTGGCATTCTTGATTAACATAGCTTAGAACAATTTAGTGTTACTTACATCCAGTAACATGTAGAGTACTAACAACCAGCGAATGCCACTATATGGGATCCTCCTGATTATTTTTGAAGTCAATTTTTTAAGTTTTCCTAGAAAAAAATATAAAAAGAAAAAAAGACATTTAAATTAATATAGCTTTACTACTGAGTATATGGTACTTTCTCTGTCTTCCTATTTGACTGGAAGAGGACAAATGTCCCAAAACACCCCAAGTAAGAACAGTATGCTTGTAGCTGCATGTCCCATTGCCCTTCCTGTCATCTAGAAAAGATTCTTGTCTGAAGTCCCCTTCAGGAATTCAATGTACATACCAAGACCAAAATAAAGAATTCAGAGAAATCAAGAGCAATCAATGTAGACTTCAATTAACAAGTGGCATCAATAGAAGTGCTAAAAAATTCAATGGAAACATCCATAGAGAAGTCAGCTCATTGGGCATGAACAAATCAAATCTGTGGCCATTAAAGGATTAATAGTCATGCCTTTTAGGTAACTAGAGGGACAACTTTTACTTCGGGAGTCTTATTTAAAGCCTTGAGTATTTTTTCTTCCTATGTTTTTTTTTCTTCTTTTTTTCCCTCTCAAAGCTTCAAGTTGCTTTTCTTTTTTTCCCTTCAAATTGTTATTAAGAAAAAAATTCTTCCACAACAGTGATTGTGTCACCTAACAAGTCACCATTCTTAACCCAAGACCACGGGAGTCAGAAACAGACATCAACAGGTTTCATGATGCAGGTAGTTTTACATAAGGAGAGATAATAAAAGGCTAAAACGAACAATATACATATGTTTCTTTTCATCAATGGGATTTGTGTTTAAACAATATTTCAAGTAGGGGTGAGTAGTTATAATGGCATCTGATACTATATTTATTGTTAGGTGTGAGTTAGTATCTACACATTGTATCAATTTATATATCAGTAAGTCTGACATAAAATTGAGAAATGTAAGGTATAATTTTCACAAAACCTTGATCTATGGAGAACGGGGGAACCTCCCGAGTGTTAACTGGGAGAGTGACAGGATTCTATTTGGAGAACAAGTTAGAGAAGAGCAATCCTAAAATCAGGGACAGCCAAGGAGCTGGAGTCTAGAGAACTGGGGAAGACTTCATGGAGGAGGTGACCTGGAGCCAAGAACGGAAATAAGTGTAAAACTATGCTAAGGTGAAAAAAAAAAAGTATGTATGTATATTGCTTGGGAACATAAACAGATGTAATCTTAAAAATCATGGAGATCATAATTAGAAATTTTAGAATAACACTAATTGTTGCTGAGTGGGCAGGGAATGGAGTGAGAGTGGGAAAGGATTTGTAAGCTACTATTAACAATCTTCTTAAACTTAAATTTGTTGGAGACATGGTATGGCCAGGCATCATGCTATTTACCTTCCCAAGAACCCTCTGTGGTAAAGGGCATCTTCCTTTTATTGAGGAAGAAACTGGACCGCAGAGCGATCACAGGACTTAGTCAAAGTCCTCTATTTAGTAAGGAGGCAGCATCTAACTACAAACCCAAGTTTTTCTGACTCGACAGCCCATGTTTTTATTTTCCAAGTAACTAACCATGGGTTCTTCATTTTGGAAAAGCATATCTTTTGTTTTATATCAGAATTTGTAGAAACAACAACAACAAAAAAATGTTCAGAACCTTAAAAACATACCTAACACAGGACTTTTAAAATTTAGATGAAAGCAAGGACCATTTGATGAGTATAAACAGGGGGAAGCTTTCTGCTTAACTTCTGCTTAATTAAATCCAGCTGGAGATCCTAAAATATTTAAGATAATGACGTGTTTGATAGTATGAATTACTGTGACTTACACAGGCCATCTAAAACGTCTAATTAAAAAGCAGCACTCGTTCAGAGGAAGAGGCTCTTCGATGGTTCTGAATGAGCTGCATGTGGTCTGGCGGCATCTGGCCCTTTACACCAGCAAAAGTACTGGACAATTCCCTGGGAAATTATCTGGTTCTAAAGAGCACTCATCAAATTATTTTTTCCTCCATAAATGGAAACACTGACATATTTACGAAAACCACTTTCCTTCTAATGTCGGATTACTGTCTTAGGGACAGGCATCATATTAATAGGCAGTAGAGGCTGCTGCTATTCTGGATACCAGCACCATCATACAGAATACTCCTTGAGATCAAGGCTGGAGAATTTAATCTAGGGATTTAAGTCATTAAAAGTGCATATTTATATTCAAATTTTATATCTAAATATTGACTTTTTTCTCTAGTTAAAGGGTATCCTCAAAATCTTCATATAACTTTAAACTTTAGTCAGTTCCAAGCTATAAACCCTATATACTTATAAAACATAATTTGAAAATTCAATTACTTAAATTTGTTTTATACTTATTTCCTTTTGTGATTTTTTAATAATAAAGTGATTATTTAAATTTTTTATATCCTATGATTGATTGATAATGACAAATAACTAAAATAGATAACGGTAGATATCTTTAAAAAGGGGATGAATAGTTTTGAAAGAAAATATCCAAAACAAACTTTGCCCACTTCAAAATATTGTCTAAGAAGAGCTTTGCAGATAAGCTTCTGAGACAAAACAATGGCCCATAGCTATTATAAAAGAGAAGTATAAAAAATAGAAGCACTTCCCTAAATAGAAGCCCATTTCTTGAGGGCAGAATTCTATACTACTTTATATAAGTTTGATGTACTGGGAGAAAAAAGTTATCTTCAGGATTAAAACAATTAAAACTGAAGCATTTTTGGAGAAAACAGACATGCTCAGTTTTCATTACAGAGATGAAGTGTTTGCTATGCATTGTCTCAAAGTGTGAACATTTAAATTTTAATTTAGTAAGCTTATTAAAGAAACTTATTTATCTAGTGGCTTATTTTAGGTTCCAGAGTATACGATACAATTGTCTATTGCTCTGAAATATTAGTCTTTTTTCATCAGAGTCTAAAACTCTTCAATAAATGCTCTGATTCTTTTTAGTCCAAAAGTTAGGTCTCTGTTTAAATAAATTCTGTCCACTAGTAAGTAACAAAGATGAACACTAACCTCAACACTTTCAGTCAACCTCTAGACTACTCATTTCTGCACCACCAGAGATTTGCACAGTATTTGGTCCAAAGTACACCTCCAATAATTCTATGAAATTTAAGTTTTAATGATATGATATAGATAAGCTCTAAAACATTATTCTCTATTTAAATATATCAAAAGTGATTATTTTATTTGAAATATAATACAATTTTTAAAGTCTTTAAAATAATTAGAAATAGATCTTATTCATACTTTGCTTGTAAAGAACACATTAAACACAAAGGAAAAGCCACAGTGAAATTTCCTACAGTCCAAGGCCCATAATACTAACGTTCTATTTTGTTCCAAAATACTTGAAAAAAGCTCCTGATTTACCATAACTCAAGTTCTTAATTTAGCCTGAAACTGATATATGTATACTCCTTAATTTGATTGGAGATTTTTGAAAGAGGAACGTTTGGCTTTAGTTCTGAAGGAAACCTTGGTCTTCAGTTTTTCTTGGAGTAATGCTGTGTTCTATAGCTGTAACCACTGCCCTGAAATATGATTGCTTGCAAAATTAATTTATTTTCATGCCTGTGACATGCATGGATGAATTGATTAGTGAATGAAATTTGACAAGTGAACATATGATAGAGATATAAGTATGTATTTCATATAGTTTAAAAGTAAAGCAACAATTTGAAGAACCAGAAAGCCTGCATGTTTGATACTTTGATTTTTCATTTATTTTTAATATATATATATATTTTAAAATATATTTTATTGATTTTTTTTACAGAGAGGAAGAGAGAGGGATAGAGAGTTAGAAACATCGATGAGAGAGAATCATCGATCAGCTGCCTCTTGCACACCCCCCACTGGGGATATGCCCGCAACCAAGGTACATGCCCTTGCCCAGAATCGAACCCGGGACCTTGCAGTCCCCAAGCCGACGCTCTATCCATTGAGCCAAACCGGTCCCGGCATGATTTTTCATTTATTTTTAAATTGCATATCCCACAAATGCCAGGCATCTTTTCATTTGTTGTTTTTATTTCCTTTAATTTCATGTTTGCATGTCTTGTAGCTGAGACTTATATAACTTTTATTAAAATGTAGGATCAAAGAGCAGTTCCAGCCACAGTTCAAATAGAACACTAGGCATTAGTGTACATTGAATGAATGAATGGATAGATAGAAAATGACTAAGGTTTGAGCAAAGTTAGTGGTTACTAACCTAAAATACAGTAGTTGCTGAAAAGGCGAGTACAATAAAATTAATGTTAATATATGTGAAGGCAGAATTGTCCGCGGCATTTAGATTACCACTTTAATTTACACTCCTCCCCTTATAATAACCAAAGCCTCACAAATGTCACTATTGCTACATTTCTGTATGTAAAACAAAGTTCTTTTTTTCACAATGCTCTCCATTAGAACTCCTGGTGCACAGTGTGAACTCTCAGGCACATTGGTTAACCAAATATATTAATACTAATAAGTGCTTATACCATTATTGGTATTTCAGAAAGTTAAGTTTTTAAAAGAGCTCTTTTCCATTAATAGTGTTCTCACATAATGGCAGGGCAGGGCCACATAATTATCCCTTATTACGGAACTGAGAAAATACAGTGAGAGATTAAGTGGTCCTCATAGGAAGTCAGTGGCAGACAGAAGTTGTATATTCATAGATGAAAATATTCAGGTTTTTGCCTGGCCTAAACTATGGTGAATTCTGTTATTTTTAAGGACGGCAGATATGTATGTGTGTGCTTCTAACAGTGGAGATTACTCCTTTGTCCTTTTCTGACAGGTAAACCCATTTGGGGGCTCAGCTGGTGGCTCAGTTTCTTCCTCCATTTTAGAAGCTATATAGATTATGTAACTACAGACTTTATTTCCATCTTTTAATTTGACTTTAATGCCGCATCACACAAAAGGATTGGCTCAATTTCATTTATTTGGAATAAAATATATTAAGATAGGAGGCCCATAATTTCCTTTACATAAAAGTGCTCAAAATCATCTATAAGTGGAGCATTTTAAAATTCATTAAAGACCTTTGACATGCTCTCCTATTAGCAGGGTTCCAGAGAGCACAGATGGCAATTAGTCATGCAGGTGTTGATGTGATTAACTTCTTTGACTAAGGAGAGCAGCACCATCTATGAAAAGAATCTGAATTTCCAGGAACAAACAGTAATATTAGATAATATTCAAAGTATCTCCCTACCAACACTGCAGCGTTGTTGTTGTTGTTGTTGTTGTTGTGTGTGTGTGTGTGTGTGTGTTTTAAATATATAGGACACAATATCACAGGAAGGCCATGGTGTCTGCCACCTGTGAGGAGTAGGCCCACGTTGCTGTTGGATGTGTCATTCACAGAAGAGCCACTCTTCAGGCACTCTGCTCTCTCTACATCCAAGCGTTCTTAGATCCTTACGTAAATTCTTTGCTCGATGATAAACACACTGTGCACCTTAAACTTACAAATGTCGTAGGTCAATTATATCTAAATAAAGCAGGGGAGAAAAATTCTTTGTTCATTTTTATGGCTCCTTAGTGGAAAATCCAATCCTAGCAGGACAGATGGTCTTTGAAAACAGTGGTTCTCCAAGTGTAGTCCCTGGACTAGCAGCATTGGCAACTTGGGAGCTTGTTAGAAATGCAAAACCTTTTTTTCTGCCTCTAATGCAAGCCAGAATCTCTGGTGGAGACCCTAGGAATCAGTGTTATTACAAACAACCCAGAGGATTCCCGTGAAAGCTAAAATTTGGGAACCTTGGCTGTAAGGTGCCTGGATAAAAGGCTCTCTAGAGAGAACACAGTGGGATATATAAATTAAAGCATTATTATGCCCAGATAATAAATTACATTATGGACAAAATGTTCAATTCTTATCTTTAATTTATTTACTTTGAATTTATTAGAATTAGTGCATGTGAATTAATAACTCAATTAATAACTATATCAATGCCCAATGTGACTTCCCTCTGTGAAGAAAAATTGGCTTTAGGCAATGGTGGAATGGAAATTATGGAGTATGGGAACCTAGGCAGAGTTGCTGTGAAAGTCTCTGCATCCTGGCAAGGACCTGAGCTGCTACATTGTCACCTTTGGTGTCCCACATGTCCACCCTATGACTTCAGTAATATCTCCTTCAACCATACATTGCTTTTACATATCACAAAATAGAGCTGAAAATCACAAACCATCTTGCAAGATGGAGAAATTAGCAAATTACCCACTAGGGAGAGAATATGAAAAAAATATTCATTTTTAATTGATTTTGTAAACTCTTCAAAGATTTTAAGACTTTCATGGAAATATGACTACATGTGGTCATACAATTATATAAATACATTTTGAGTCCTATTTCTTTCATTTTGGTGATTTCTTTTACACTGGTTTCCATGTCAAGAGTGACATTAGTAGTGAAAGCTGCTGCTAAATAGAAGCTTTAGAGTAATTGAGACAAACCAAAAGATTTGGTGGCCAAAGTCTTTTTTTTTTTTTTAATATATTTTATTGATTTTGTACAGAGAGGAAGGGAGAGAGATAGAGAGTTAGAAACATCGATGAGAGAGAGAGTATGGATCAGCTGCCTCTTGCACACCCCCTACTGGGGATGTGCCCGCAACCAAGGTACATGCCCTTCACCGGAATCGAACTCAGGACCTTTCAGTCCCCAAGCCGACGCTCTATCCATTGAGCCAAACCGGTTTCGGCTTGGTGGCCAAAGTCTTAATCAAAATTCAATGTGTGGCTGAAATTTTAATACCATCAACTGGTCATCCAGGACTTATCACAGAAGTTGTTTGTAAATGACAGTTGAAGAATCTTTAGTATACTGAATAAATAGATCAACAAAGCTTCCAAATGCAGTTTAACATTCCTACTAAGTTATCCTCAGTATTGGGAGGAGGGCTTGGCTCCAAGAGTGGGATGGTTGCACACTCCCCTCCACTATGCACTAGTCACTAATCTATCTTTATTAGCCCTTCTGTTGTATGTGCTGTTTGCTGCATCCCTTTTACCTGAGGCAGAGCAGAATCAGATACAAGAGGCTACATTGACAAAAGACCCCAAGCAGCAGAGAATGCAGTTTATTGACGGGACTTTACAGATGGATGATGATAGTAATGAGAAAGCTGCATAATTGTTCCTCATGGTGGGCCAAAACTTCAGTCAATGGCTGATGCACACGCAACAAAATTATTAAGTCACTTTATTTCAGAACTGAAATGATTCCCAAATTAGAACAGACCCATGAACCGTCCATCTGGCTAGGATATGGAATAGTGGACAGATTGTGGCCTATGGATGCAATTCTTTAGCATAAAAAATGGCAGGGGTGCTTTTTTGCCAAAAGACCCAGAGGACTACAGGAATTCACTACATATCTACAACAGAAAGCCTTGGTCGCTCATGTCCAAAGCAGAAAACCCCCCAAAAAGATATGAGTATGCAATGTCTTTCATGTGAAAGATGAGTTATTTCCTGGTCAATGCAGAAATGCTTTGATATTACTAGATGTAATATCAACTTATTTGGTTAATATGTTTTATAAAAGATTACTGTACTGCCAAACCAGTAGGGAAAATAGTGATCTAGCTTTCCTTCTTATGTATCCGGTATACACAGGAGCCACAGAGAACCAGGACTTGAATAAATCCATCTAGTTGGCTAATTCATCATGCAAGCCTAAATTTCTCAGGTGTATGGGCCTCCTAAGATGTGATTTCTGGTCACAGGTCCACACATTTGCTCGGAGACTACAAAGCTGACATCTTATATAATAAATAGGTAATATGCAAATTGATCCTCATGTCCTCACACAAGATGGCCACCCCCATGTGGTCAAAGAAGGCTGCCACAAGATGGCTGGCATAGGAGGGTAGTTGTGGGTGATCAGACCAGCAGGAGAGGGCAGTTGGGGGCAACTGGGCCAGCAGGGGAGGGCAGTTGGGGGTAATCAGGCTGGCAGGGGAGCATTTTAGGCATCAATCAGGTTGGCAGGGGAGTGGCTGGGGGTGATCAGGCTAGCAGGTAGGCGAGTGGTTGGGAGCCAGCAGTCCAGTAGTGTGAAAGGGATGTCTGATTGCCGGGGTGGGGGGACATGCCCCAAGCTATCCCAGATTGGAGAGGGTGCAGGTGACAGCCCCACCCTGCAGTGCACCAATTTCTTGCACTGGGCCTATAGCTCAAAAATAATTTCCATTCTTTTGATTAAGATGTAAATGTAGGTATTCTTTCTGTTTCTGCCCCTGTTAAGCATCCCTTCCAACAAAGTTCCAAAGTCTTACTAATGATGGTGTCAAAAGAAACCATTCTTGTGAAGACTTTGCATTTCTTGTAGTGATAATGATTACTAGACTCACATGTAACACTCTTGCATAAATGAGGACAAAGTTTTTGTGAAACATTTCATTACATTTCCTATTTCTCCATTTTGCAGTAAAAATCATTGTATATCATAAGGCTTTATGGAAGAGAGACACAGATGATATAAGAAATATTGACCCAGACACAAATCTAGAGAGTCTACAGTGTTCAGAAATATATAAAAACCCATACAGAACTATTCAAATATCATGCAAAAGACATTTACTGAGTGCCACTAGGTATTTTGCATATAATGTCCCAATCTATATAAAAACCAAGAGGCTGATTACTACCTTCACTTAATACATGAGAAAACAAAGATTCAGAGAATTAAAAACCTGCCTTGTATCTCTAAAATCGTCAGTGATAGATGCTAATCTTCCTAACTCAGTAAACTGTATTGTCCCTCAATAGTATTTATTGATTATTTTATGAATATTCTTAACAACTCTCCCATAATTCTTCATGAAGAACACAAAAGTGAGCATAAGCTTCACTGTCATTGAATCCTGTTGACCTTATGATTTTCAATTCTATGTTGATGCTATATGTATTCAAATGCAATCAGCCTTTCTTCTAATAACAAGACATGGCTTCTAGGCGACCATGGTAATCACACAACTGATATCTATTGGATAATTTATAGCAAAGAAGCTGAAATTCAAATTTTATTCTTTATATTTTAAAAAATCCACCTAGCTGTGTAATTCATCATGCAAGCTTAAATTTCTCAGGTGTATGGGCCTCTCTTATTCAACATTTGATTCACTTAGCACTTCAGTAATTTCGTATAAAATGGACACATTGAGAACCTCTATCTTATATAAGTAGGTATGAGGATTATATGACATTATGTTTACTAAATCTTTCATTATAATGTAGGTAATGATTATTATTGTGCTGATGCTTCTATCAGTTTTTGAATGTGTGAATGAACAAATGTTCTCAGAGACTTAGTAGTTTTCAGTTGAGATATTTAGAAAATTGCCAAATAATTTCAAAATGAAAAGTATTCCATACTGAAAACTGGAAGTAAATAGTCTTGGGCCTTCTTTTCTCAGGGCTGTATATGCCCTTGGCCTAAGAAGCAAGTTGATTTTTTTTTCCTGACTTGATTATTAAGTAAAATAAGTTAGAAGCAGACTGAACCACAGTGTGTGATTCCCAGAACTATCAGACCAGGCTGAACTGTGTCAGCTAACACGTGATATTTAAAGTTCTGTAGTTAGAAACATAATTTAAATGTTTTAAACTTTGACACAGTTATCTGTATCCTCTCACATCTCTCAAGGTGCCTTCGTAAACTCTGTTGTGTTGAGTTACTTCACCTATTTATTTAATATCACATGTGTTTTTATGCATGTACCAAGACAGAAAATCTATTCAGGTTAATATTTTGCTATTCTGTCCTGAGAGAAAGGATTGTTAACTGGCGAAGCTCTCCAGAAGTTATTTCTCGCTTCTAGTCACTGACTTGAAGCTGAGAGTGCGTGGAGGAAGTAAAGAGCAGTTGTAAAGTGCAAAATAAATCCCAGTAGCTATTCTCTATGCTAAATGCTTTTTTTGCCCCCAGACTGGCATATGCTATTTCATTGAAGTAAATGGCACACTTTGTCACCAATCCTCGGCATTAATTTTGTTTTAGCTCTACTGATCAGCTTAAAGGTTCTGTCTTACAGTGCCAGTTACTTCTACTTAAGAAATGTTAATGTTTCTGTTAACTGCTTTTCGAAAGAAAAACTAGAGACCTTGCAGAAAACTGAGCGCTTCTCACTTTATGGGAAAAAAAATGAAATCTCTAAAAATTACAGAGAATAGCAGAGAGCATGGTCTTTTATTTTTTTTCCCCAAGAGGAAAGCCTTTTTTTTTTTTTTTTTTTTTTTTTTTTTTTTTTTAATATGTTTAGTGATTGTAATTTTCTTGTATTTTTTTTAATGAAGTTTCTTTTGGGTCATTCTTAATGTAAGAAATTAGTGATGGAATTTAACTATGGAGTGTGGATTAAGTAGTAGTGTTGTATTCCTATTTAATGTTTTGA